AATTCTCAAAATTCTCAAAAATCCCAAAGTCAGCAACTATGTCTGGGATGGAAGTTCCCAAACAATAAACAACTCGAGTTGTTCGGGAATTTCCTCAAAAACCATCAGGAAATGCAAGATTCGTAAGAAACCTTGAGAATTCCCAAAATTCACAAAATTCCAAGAATTCTTAAAGTCTCAGCAACTATGTTTGGGATGGAAGTTCCCAAGCAACTTTGGAGTTTTTGTGTTTTTTGGAAATTCAAAAAACTCGTTGTTTTTGGGAATGCTGTATTTTACTGAGCGGTTTCTTGGAACTTCCATCCCAGACATAGTTGCTGAGACTTTGGGAATTTTGAGAATTTTGGGGATTCTCGACCTTTTTTTTCCGGAATCTTGCCTTTATTGAGCTTTTTGCTTGATGTTTTGGAAATTGACAAAGCACTCGAGGTGTTTTGCGAATGTTGGGTTTACTGAGGGTTTTTTTGGAACTTCCATCCCAGACAAAGTTGCTGAGACTTTGGAAATTTGGAAATTCTATTGAAGTAGACGTGACTTTGGTTTTTGGGAATTTTGGGAATTTTCGGAATTCTAGAGGTGTGTTGGGAATCTTGAATGTACTGAGGGTTTTTGTGAACTTTGTGAAATTCACAAAAAACTCTTGCATGTACTGCTTTTGGTTTTTGAGAAGCAAAATTTCTCAAACAACCAATAATTCATTTATGTATGTTTTTAAGAAGAATATATCTTTTGAAAAATCTTATGACATCTTATGAAAACACACTGTTCATAAGATTTCATAAGATTTCATTTTTCCTCAACCATGATCATTCATAAGATTTCATAAGGTTTCATATTTCCTCAACCATGGTCAAGCTCATAAAACACACTTTGGATCAAAATTCCAAGGTTGCACCAAGTAGTTCCTGTAGTTTTCAATCATCCACTACATCAGTTTACTAAGACATTGTGTTCAACGGATAAATGAAGTCCACTTAGCTCAGGTAAAGCAATACGGCTTCGCAGCTAAGAAGCGTGGACATGCAGCACCGCACCTGCCAAAGTCATACGCACTCAAATCAAATATTCCACATTATCCCAAATGTAAAATGTACCCCAGCTACTGCTATACATAAATTTCAATATATTTTCACATGTTCAATATGACTTATTTACTAATATACTATTTTCTGAAAGCAGCGCTGTGAGCGCTGAGTTTGTCCACGTCCTTGAAACATGACAAGATTAGGCATTTCGTATATGTCTGTGTTGGGACATGCCAAATCCCACCCAAACAAACTCATCATTTTTTGGAATTCCTGAAAATTCACAAAAATTCAGTAAATGCAAGAATACAAATTTGATTTTTTGGAATTTCCAAAAAATCACAACAACCCTCAGTAAATGCAAGATTCCCAAAAAACTTCGCAAAAACCTCGAGTATTTTCAGCAGTAACTTCCCAGAAAACCTCGAAAATTCCCAAAATTCTCAAAATTCCAAAAAATCCCAAAGTCAGCAACTATGTCTGGGATGGAAGTTCCCAAACAATAAACAACTCGAGTTGTTCGGGAATTTCCTCAAAAACCATCAGGAAATGCAAGATTCGTAAAAAACCTTGAGAATTCCCAAAATTCACAAAATTCCAAGAATTCTTAAAGTCTCAGCAACTATGTTTGGGATGGAAGTTCCCAAGCAACTTGGGAGTTTTTGTGTTTTTTGGAAATTCAAAAAACTCGTTGTTTTTGGGAATGCTGTATTTTACTGAGCGGTTTTTTGGAACTTCCATCCCAGACATAGTTGCTGAGACTTTGGGAATTTTGAGAATTTTGGGAATTCTCGACCTTTTTTTGCCGGATCTTGCCTTTATTGAGCTTTTTGCTTGATTTTTTGGAAATTGACAAAGCACTCGAATGTTGGGTTTACTGAGGGTTTTTTGGAATTTTGGGAATTTTCGGAATTCTCGAGGTGTTTTGGGAATCTTGAATGTACTGAGGGTTTTTGTGAATTTTGTGAAATTCACAAAAAACTCTTGCATTTACTGTTTTTGGATATTCAAAAAAACTCGAGTTTTTTTTTGGGAAGCAAAATTTCTCAAACAACCAATAATTCATTTATGTATGTTTTTAAGAAGAATATATCTTTTGAAAAATCTTATGACATCTTATGAAAACACACTGTTCATAAGATTTCATAAGATTTCATTTTTCCTCAACCATGATCATTCATAAGATTTCATAAGGTTTCATATTTCCTCAACCATGGTCAAGCTCATAAAACACACTTTGGATCAAAATTCCAAGGTTGCACCAAGTAGTTCCTGTAGTTTTCAATCATCCACTACATCAGTTTACTAAGACATTGTGTTCAACGGATAAATGAAGTCCACTTAGCTCAGGTAATGCAATAAGGCTTCGCAGCTAAAAAGCGTGGATGCAGCGCCGCACCTGCCAAACTCATACGCACTCAAATCAAATATTCCACATTCTCCCAAATGTAAAATGTACCCCAGCTACTGCTATACATAAATTTCAATATATTTTCACATGTTCAATATGACTTATTTACTAATATACTATTTTCTGAAAGCAGCGCTGTGAGCGCTGAGTTTGTCCACGTCCTTGAAACATGACAAGATTATGCATTTCGTATATTTCACCCCAAAAAACTCATCATTTTTTGGAATTCCTGAAAATTCACAAAAATTCAGTAAATGCAAGATTCCCAAAAACAACTCGAGAGTTCAAACTTCTCAAATTCTTAGCAACTATGTCTGGGATGGAAGTTCCCAAAAAACACGCAGTAAATGCAACATTCCGAAAACACCTCAAGTTTTTTGGAATTTCTAAAAAAACAAAAAACGCCCTGTGTAAATGCAAGATTCCAAAAACCTTGAGAATTCCGAAAATTCCCAAAGTCTCAGCAACTATGTCTGGGATGGAAGTTCCCAAGCAACCCTCAGTAAATACAACTTTGATTTTTTTGAATTTCCAAAAAATCACAACAACCTTCAGTAAATGCAAGATTCCCAAAAAACTTCGCAAAAACCCTGTATTTTTAGGAGTTTCCAGCAGTAAATTCCCAGAACACCTCGAAAATTCCCAAAATTCTCAAAATTCCAAAAAATCCCGAAGTCAGCAACTATGTCTGGGATGGAAGTTCCCAAACAATAAACAACTCGAGTTGTTCGGGAATTTCCTCAAAAACCATCAGGAAATGCAAGATTCGTAAAAAACGTTGAGAATTCCCAAAATTCACAAAATTCCAAGAATTCTTAAAGTCTCAGCAACTATGTTTGGGATGGAAGTTCCCAAGCAACTTTGGAGTTTTTGTGTTTTTTGGAAATTCAATAAACTCGTTGTTTTTGGGAATGCTGTATTTTACTGAGCGGTTTTTTGGAACTTCCATCCCAGACATAGTTGCTGAGACTTTGGGAATTTTGAGAATTTTGGGGATTCTCGACCTTTTTTTTCCGGAATCTTGCCTTTATTGAGCTTTTTGCTTGATTTTTCGGAAATTGACAAAGCACTCGAGGTGTTTTGCGAATGTTGGGTTTACTGAGGGTTTTTTTGGAACTTCCATTCCAGACAAAGTTGCTGAGACTTTGGAAATTTGGAAACTCTATTGAATCCTAGACATGACTTTGGTTTTTTGGAATTTTGGGAATTTTCGGAATTCTCGAGGTGTGTTGGGAATTTTCACATGTTCAATATGACTTATTTACTAATATATTATTTTCTGAAAGCAGCGCTGTGAGCGCTGAGTTTGTCCACGTCCTTGAAACATGACAAGATTAGGCATTTCGTATATTTCTGTGTTGGGACATGCCAAATCCCACCCAAAAAAACTCATCATTTTTTGGAATTCCTGAAAATTCACAAAAATTCAGTAAATGCAAGAATACAACTTTGATTTTTTGGAATTTCCAAAAAATCACAACAACCCTCAGTAAATGCAAGATTCCCAAAAAACTTCCAGCAGTAACTTCCCAGAAAACCTCGAAAATTCCCAAAATTCTCAAAATTCCAAAAATCCCAAAGTCAGCAACTATGTCTGGGATGGAAGTTCCCAAACAATAAACAACTCGAGTTGTTCGGGAATTTCCTCAAAAACCATCAGAAATGCAAGATTCGTAAGAAACCTTGAGAATTCCCAAAATTCACAAAAGTCCAAGAATTCTTAAAGTCTCAGCAACTATGTTTGGGATGGAAGTTCCCAAAAAACTTGGGAATCTTGCATTTACTGGGTTTTGTGTTTTTTTGGAATTTTGAGTTGTTTTTTCAAAAAACCCTGAGTAAATGCAACATTCACAAAAACACGAGTTATTTGTGAATTTCACAAAATTCCAAAAACCATCAGTAAATGCAAGGTTCCAAAACAAAAAACTCAAAATTCCAAAAATCCCAAAGTCTCAGCAACTATGTCTGGGATGGATGTTCTGAAAAAAACCACCAGTAAGTACAACATTCCCGAAAAACCTCGAGTTGTTTGTAATTTCCTAAATTCCAAAACAAACCCTCAGTAAATGCAAGATTCAAGAAAACTCGAGAATTCCTCAAGTTTCAAACAGCTCAAAATTGTCAAAATCTCAGCAACCATGTCCGGGATTAATATTCCCAAAACAGCTCAGTCCATTGCAAAATCAGTTTGAAAATCAATTAGGAAATCAATTTGGGAATCAATTGCGGGATCAAAATTGGAATCAATTCGGGAATCAATTGCGGGATCAAAATTGGAATCAATATTTCACACAAAGATGCATTTTGATTTTCCACGTTGCGTGAAAAATCAAAACCTCAGAAGGCTTGCCAACTGATTGCAATCAAGATCGGATGCTCAGGGGATGGATGGACAGAAAGAAAAACAGACGGACGGACGGATGGCTTCGCGCCAAAAAGCCACCAACATCTATAGGTTTATAATTTTGAAACCTCCGCCCACCAGCTTTGCCGGCTCAGTGCGACACAGGCAAGGCGTGCGGCGCATGATGAGGAGCGCCAGCATATGCCATGGTGACACGCAGGAGACTTGGAGCTCCAGCTGGTGGAGTCTTGTCAACGGAGCAGCCAGCTCTGTCAGAGCTGGGGTCAAATTTGTGACTTGGACATGCAATTGTGTACCAAGACGCCCAAGATTCGTTGCTTGTATGGGCCCAGGTGAAGGATAAGGTTTTGACAGCCAGAAAGAGCCAGCGAATTACCCGCGTTGCAGCGGAAGAGGTCAGGAAGGGCCACTTACCAGCTGCGATTTTGGAAAATGCGCCAGGTGGAGGCAGCGCCACCACAAGCGTCGTTGACAGGGGGAACCAGCTGCGGACGACGGATCCTAACAATTCAAGACAGCGGCTTTGTCGACCAGGCTCAGTGACATTCAATAGCAAGAGCAGACTACCAGAAATCAGACGTGCCAGACTTGTTTCATGCTCAGTTCCCACACGGCGCGCAACTGAACATTGACTCGCTTACGCTTTGCCAGCCACCCCCTCCCTAAGCCTTCTGAGCCTGCAGATAATTCTGCGTTGCGCGAAGCTCAGCAGATTTGCGAGTTGCAGTTTACTTTGCGTTCGGCGGTAAGCTTGATTTGCACTCACCATGCTGCTTTCCACGAGAAGCAAAAGGACAGCGTGATGGACCCTCGGGGGAAAATGGTTGCCTGCTATGGTTTTTACCTTTGTTTCAAACCGGTTATCCACCTTAATCGTTTTTGCCATTGAAAGTTTGTTATAGGTTAAAATTATAGTATAATGAAAGGTTATAATGACTTACAATGTTTAATCATATTATCATGAAATAATATGAATAAGCCCTAATTTTAATGTGACACCCTCATTCGTGTGAAGAAGTCGCAGGGTTCTTCCAACAATGCTGACAACATGAGGGACTAGCATAGCAACCGATGGAAAGTGCGACTTTCCACCGTGGAAAAGTCACTTTTCCACTATGGAAAACACCACTTGTCACGACCATGGTTCCCTTGAAGTCGTTTTCCACATCAGCGTGTGCCATTTTCCGACGTGTCCTTGGCAACGAGAAACCAGAGACCAGTTGTAGGATTTCAAACGACCCGTTCAGTGTAATACAAAATCCCTCACCCATCACAACAAACTAACAAACAATTCACTGCTCAATTCAGTAGGAATTGTATACAGGTCATCTTGTTCATGTTTAATGTATCCCTCACCCCAATCAACCTTTTTGCCACATGGCAACCGTTGAGCAGTTTCAGGATGTGTCCCATTCCTAATTTTACCACAATACCTATTACATAATGGTCTAGGTTCCCAAGTTGCTATGTTAGTCCAAAGCCTAGTTCTTTTCCTAATTCATTCCGTATTTGCAATAATTCACGTCATAGTATTTTCAACCACTCATAAACGGTTGTTCTTTGAATAATCCTGTTTTGGGATTTTCTATTATCCAATATTGACAATTAAAACACCTTATTACCTCCAAAGTTTTTAAAACAATACTATTAGCATAATCTATTTTTCTAACCCCAGTTGTTTAAGCCCTACTGTATTCGGTGCAAGGTGGCGATGCCCAAGTAAAATTGACATGGTTTCTGTCAAACTGCTTGTAGCCCCATTCAAGTATGTCACAATTAATATCAGCATTTTGTATATTTAGATAAATATATTTTTATTAACTGTTGATTGCTTACATTTGTTTGTCTTTTGGTGTCGTTTTTCAATCCATCTTTTCTGACACAACAACCACATAAATCACAGTTGGTTGTTTCCATGGACTTTTGACTAATGTCTTCTCTTTTGTCTTCATATCGTTTTCGGCTTTTTTCTTTCAGTTGCTCCCCAGCTCGCAGAGAGTGGATGCAGCACCTTACGGAAGTGCTGCGCCTGCCACGAAATCTGTACTCGACCTTGCGAAAGTGCTGCGCCTGCCTCGAAATCTACACCTCACCTTGCGAAAGTGCTGCGCCTGCCACGCAATTCAATCCTTGCGAAACTTGTAAAGATTTGGCAAGCAGCAAAAGGTGCCGGCTTCGGACTGCGAGCTGCAGCTTGCGCGACGGGAGCGTGCCTGATCTAATTTCAGGAAACATGTGAAGGCAGCTATGAAAGCCGCAAGTGAGCCCCATTCCCGACATCTTCTTTACTACACGATGGCATGTTTTGGTCGTGGCCCCTTCAAGCCCCATGTGGGCCAAACCACTGCCAAATGAGTTTTGGGGCGCAAGGGGCCGAGAAATTGTGCTTGAGCTGGATGCGAGCTTTGTAGGCTCGCAGTCCGAAGCTGGCGCCTTTTGCTGCCTGCCAACTCTTTGCCCCACCCAAAAGCCAACTGTGAACCAACAGAAGGCGCCTGTTGCTGCGGCGCGCGAACTGCAGTTTGTAGCTGGGAACTGCCTCGCCCCCTCCCCGCCCCGGGCTTTCCAGAAGTTTCTGCCGAAGACCACGTCGAGCTGGAAGGTTTCGCCCCCGCCCCTTCCAGAAGTTACTGTATACTTAGGAAGTAGCGCTCCTTTCAACGTTCATAATTTTCTGCCGAATTTACATAAACTTGTGTGCCGCAAACTATTTCGATCTACTGTAAAGGTTTCAAACAAAGGCTTCAACCGAACAATCCGCGGGGTGTTGCTGGGAACTGGCGCCCGTTGCGCCTTCCAAAATGCTCTGCCGAAACTACGCCGGCTGCGCCCAAGTGCTTCCCAAAGTAATTCTCAAGTCAAATGGGCCAGATGAGTGGGCCACACGGGCTACGCTTCGTAGTTTGGCTGGGGCCCTTGGCCGTTTCAAGAAGCTTTTGCCAACGAGCACGTTTTTGCAAAGAGGCTGTCAGGCACACAAAAAGACAGTTTATAGCCGTGAGCTGGCACCTCCAAGTTTTGGCAGAAATCAAAAAGCTTCGCTCTAGCCATACTTAGCCGTTCAACCTGGCGCCCCTTGCTGTTTCTGTGGGGCACTCTTCCTAAAGTTTGAGCCAGCCGTGTGTTAGCTACACAGGCTGCCGATTGCTACCGGGGCCGCGTTGTCATTAACAATAACTTCAACTGGCGGCTTTCATTCTGAAACTCTGAAAATGACAACGTGCAAGGTCCACCGGCACAGCAAGCAAACACAGACACGCTCGCAGGAACATGTCTGCTGAGCGTCGCTGGCGCTTGCTTGTTGTTTTTGTGTTGCTCGCAGCGGTCGCAAGAACGCAAATATAGTTTTGTGAAAGGCGGCGCTGCTGTATTTTCACCATGCGCTCCACCAAGTAAGTTGCCAAAAACTCTTAACCGTCTTGAACATATGTAAGGCGCGTAAAATGGCTGCGCGCGTACGAGCGATGGGGCACTTTGACAACCCGCGAATGTTGAGAGCTCTTCCGCGCGCACGCAACACCACCCACCTGCGTTCGCAGGCGATCCGTGAAAACTAGGACTTGGCTTTGCCGCAGCGTCTCCGCGCCATATAACTGGCTAATTCCATCTGATCCCGGCAACTGCGCGTGCTGCGCTCGGGTGCAAATTCTGCGCGGCGCGTGAAAAATTGGAAACGGCAAAGCGTGAGACTAAGTTAAACTTGTTTTTTTTGAAAAGCTCCGAGTTTAACTTTGTTTTTTGAGTCTTGGGGTTACTATCCACGCCCATGCGTTGCAGAGCTGCCCGTTTGAAAGGGGTATTTCATGCGCGACTGACGGCGCTTCACTTTGCTATACCTTCGCAGCATGCTTGTTTGTCATGGCCATGGCTTCAAAATCGGTGTGTTTTTGCTTGAGCGTCCGTTTGCAGGCAGAAGAAGATTGGCTAAGTGCTGTTTCACGCAGTGTCTGGGAAGAGGCAGTTACGGAGATTAGCCTGCGCCCAGACGCCAATGCAGCGTACGAAAAGAAGTGGATTGAGGCGCTTGTGGAAAGCATGTGTGACAGATCGATTTGCCACGGCAGGGTGGAATTGCTGAGATT